TTCTAGGTGATGGGCGTGTGGACGTGCACCGCGAGAATTGGGACTTGGCCCATTCCATGAAACTGGAAAGTTGAATAAGCTTGTTGTTAGCTATGTGTCCTTTTTGTGCTATAGAAATTTGACAATGAATCATGCTTAGGCTATGCGTTGGTACTGTAAAGACCCAAGTGGTCGTAATACTTGTTGAACCTTCCTACTTACTGTTACTTGTACTCAGTCGTAGTATTACATGTATATTATACCTAAGTCTCTGTTACTCCCTCCTGATACATTATATCTTCTGTTTTAGGCTGATTTACCTTTATTACTGAGGGTCGTGAGACTAGAGAGGTTGATGGCTGAGTGAGGCCGAGGGCCTGTTTGTGAGGTATTGATACCATAGCACGTGAGTGGTCCGTGCGGATCCAGATATTATACTATAACACGTGAGTTGTCCGTGTAGCACGTGAGTTATCCGTGCGAATCCAGATATTGTACTATAGCACGTGAGTTGTCAATGCAGCACGTGAGTTATCCATGCGGATCCAAATATTGATTCTATAGCACGTGAGTTGTCCGTGCGGATTATAGTGCTTGGGCTATAGGAGCCCCTCCAGAGTCTGTACACCCCTAGTGAGCGCAAATACCTATTGAGTGTGAGTACTAAGGACTGAGAGCCGAGTGATTGAGCTGTTGTAATGACTTGAGTGATTGTTGCCCTGAGAGGCTATACTTGCCTTTTCATTTGTTGTTGAACTTAGTTGCTATCTGTAATTGTTGTGAAATCTCTAAAAGATTTTTATATCCGGATTACATGAACTTGAACTGTATAAAATTGATTTGACTTAAACTGCCGGATTTGAAAACATGTCTATTCTTTGCTGGAATTACTGAAAAAGAACTATAACTGTGTAGCTCGTCACTATCTTTAGTTCTTTATTTATTATTATTACTTACTGAGTTGGTTGTACTCATACTACACCCTGCACTTCGTGTGCAGATCTAGGTGTTCCCGGACATAGCGGGTGTTAATTCTTTCACCCAATTGATTTTTCGGAGATTCAGAGGTAGCTGTCGTGTTTCGCAGACCTTGCCTCTCCTTTCCTATCTCTCTTGTGTGCTGTATTTGGTCTCAGACTATTATGGACCATATTTTCTAGACTTGTATTCATATTAGATACTTATGTACTCAGTGACACCGGGTTTTTGGGAGTATTTATATTTGTACTTGTGAGATTTTTTCCATTGAATTTAATCATTACGTTTTCAAATTTAAAAGATATGTGGTTTATTGAGATTGTCGGCTTGCCTAGTATTAAGATAGGCGCCATCACGACGGGTGAGATTTTGGGTTATGACAAAACTTAACGTCTCAGATTGGTGCGAACAGATCAAATTCTATCGGAGTTTTAGATCTTGATGTTGTACTTTATACTAAGAAGCTAGCTACTATTACTCAATGTAAATATTCGACCGGTCATTTTGAGAATTTGAATGCAATTCGATGATTTAAGGTCTCGAGCAGCTTCTTATGGTGTATTACGACTTGCGAATATCGTTGGTTTTGATTTTCGAGTGATTCAGAGCTTATTTAGAAGAACGATTCTCATTTTAGAACTTTAAGCTGGAAGAGATGACCAAGTTTGCCTTTTGTATATTTGATCTCGGATAAGAGTTGGTAATTTGAAAGTTTAAAATTTTTCTAAGTTTGGCAATGATTTGACTTTGTGGTTATCAGGCTCGGAGTTTGGTTTTAGGACTTGAAATAGGTACGCTTTGTCAATAATTACTTGTTTGCAAAATTTGGTGTCAATCGAAATTGATTTGATATGATTCAGACGCTTGTTTGTAATTCTAGAAGTTCTTCAACTTTTCTTTGAAATTCATGCATTTTGATGTCCGATTCGTAGTTCTAGATATTATTTTTGTATTTTGATCGCGCGATCGAGTTCGTATGATATTTTTTACTTGTGTGAATATTTGGTTTGGATCCCCGATGGCTCGGGTGAGTTTCAGATTGGTTTTCAGATTTGTTTTGTCAAATCTTTGTGTGCTGGTGCTGGTGTCATCGCATTTCCGATGAAAAGATTGCAAATGCAACCATCGCATTTGCGGACATCTAGTTGATTTTGCGATTCTGTGTTGCTGTGGAAGGAATTCGCATTTGCGAAGAAATTTCTCGCTTCTGCGAGAGTTTTGCTATCCGCTTTTGCGAGACATCTATCGCTTTTGCGATGGTAGATGTTTTCGCATTTGCGAAGCTTTTGGTCGCAAATGCGACTTTAGCAGAGAGTCCCATGGTTCACTTTTGCTATGAAATGCTTGCTTTTGCGGCTTCATATTTACGAAACCAGTGTCGCAAATGCGACATCTGAGGTTGGTATTAGGACTTACATTTCGGGACTTAGTCTTATTTTATTACCTTTTGATCCCTAGACTCGGTGAGAGGTGATTTTGTAGAGAGATTTTCATACCAAATTAATGGGTAAGTGATTTTAATCAATTTTTAACTATATTAATGATTATATCTTAGATTTAATATCAAATATATGTGAATCAAAGTGAAAATTTTGAATTATCAAAAGGTTGTAAAGGAGTCTAGTGTAAATGAATATTTAAGACCAAACGCGACTCAAATAGAAACATTGAACATCACAAGGCCAAACTTGTTGCCGAAAATTTCACTCAGAAAGATGGCATTGAGTGACATTTTCACCGGTCTCTAGGAAAGACTCTTAGAATTATAATGGCGTTAGTAGCTCATTATGACTTAAAGTTACATTAAATGAATATGAAAATCACCCTTTCTAAATAGGAATTTAGATGAAAATATTTATATGGATCAACCAGAAGCGTTTGCCATGGAAGGAAATAAGTAAATAGTGCATAAACTAAAGAAGTTAATATATTGACTTAAACAAGCTTTGGTATCTTAAGTTTAATGAAACTATTGTTACCTTTGAATTTAAGAAAAATACTGTTAATTGGTGTATATATCTGAAGGTTAGTGGGAGTAAGTATTATGTTAGTCTTGTTTAATGATATCAACTTGCTTGCTACCGGTGATGTTGGTATGATATATGATATCAAGAAATTTCTCTCTAATAACTTTAAAGTGAAAGATATGAGAGAGCTATGTGATTAGGATAGAAATATCCGAGGATAGATCACAATGATGGTTAGGGTTGTTTCAGAAAGTCTATATTAATAAAGTGTTAAAGAAATTTAGAATGGAAAAATGTTCACAAAGTTCAGTTCAAGTTCAGAAAGGAGATAAATTTAGTCTCAATCAATGTCCAAAGAATGAATTGAAATGCAAGAAAATAAAGATATTCCTTATGCATCTATAATTGGGAGCTTAACGTATGCCCGGACATGTACGGGATCGGTCAATTTTGCTATTGGGATGCTGGGCAGATATCAAAGTAATTCAAAAATGGACCATTGAAAGGCTGCAAAGAAAGTGTTGCGGTACTTGCAGGGAACAAAAAACTATATGCTCAGTTATAGAAGACTATATATTTAAGATTATACAGGTTTGTGGATATACGAAAATTTATATTTGATTATTTATTCCTATTAGCTGGAGGAGCAATATCATAGAAGAGGCAAAGCAATCTGATATAGATGCATCCACCATAGAGGTTGAATTTGTGGCATGCTTTGAGGCCACAGTTCAGGCTAATTGGCTGCAAAACTTTATTCCAGGACTTGAACTAGTCGACAACATTGCTAGACTGCTAAAAATTTATTGTGATAATTTCACAGCAATCGTCTTCTCTAAGAACGACAAATATTTGAAAGGTGCTAAACATATAATACTTTACCGTCAAAGACGATGTTCAATAATATAAAGTGTTAATTGAACATATTAGCATCAAACTTATGATTGTTGATCCTTTGAGGAAAGGATTACCGTCCAAATATTTATAGCACATGTTGAAAGAATGTGGTTTATTGATAGTAATGAATGTCTTTATGTAAAGACTTTATTATGCTTAACAACTGACACTTTGAGCTTATTTATGTATATGTTTCTGTGATTACATATTTTTTTCTTGTATACACAAGGCTGAGAATGACAATGATAGGTTCTGGCTTAGATAAAACACATGTAAGCATTATCGTTGGACTAATAAGTGTTACTTTTGCAGGTTATGTTGGTAATATACTGATATTGTAGTATATAAAAGGAACTATATCGAATAAATATTAAATTTTGACATGTAGGAAGTGTATATGTAACTATTATATTACTAGTCTATTCAAAGCAATTTACTCCGACTATTATTGTTGTTCGAGTTACCACTGAAAATTCCACAAGCCTCCCTTGAGGTTTAGACTTGTAACACGTATCTCTCTTGTCAATTTATATATTACAATCCACCCTTTTATCATACATAACAAAAGCATATTTTATATAAATAGACAAGTTTGCACCTCATACTCTAAGTTTATTCTTTTCTGTAATAAATATATTTTCTCATATTTTATTGGGTGATGAATCTAATTGTGTCTTCTTCCTTTCAATTTCTTCAAATAACGTTTGCACAATTAAGTAGATAAATAAAAATAAAAATAAAAACAAATACTCTATAAAAGAAAAAAATTCTAATTTTATTTTTCGTCAATATTTATGTAAAGAAATTATTTAAAGAAGTTGAGTGGCATAAATGAATCAAATGCATCGGGCTAAGCAGGAAGAATCAAATGGAACAAGGAGTTTATCATTAAAATGGACCAAGGAATTAAACTTATTCAAAAAATTAAGTTTATTATGACAAATTAATTATCATTTATTTCGTTTTGCCAATCACTATTTGTTACATAGAGTTACTTGTGAGTATATGTTTCTATGATTGCCCAGCTCTTTTTACCCGATTACAAGTACGTACATAAAAGTTAAAACTCTTGTTTATTAATATGTGATGCAACTGAATAGATGAGGTGGGGATGCAATTATTTGGTAGTCTATTTGAAAGGGGAAAAGAAAATAGAAGCTTTTGGGGTTTCAGGCATACCTGCGCTGCTTCCTGGGCACCTTTTTTAGTCAGATCAAGAACTGGGCGGGGCAGAAAAGTTTCATTATTTTGGCGAAGTTCCTTAACCATCTCATAAATGGCTTCGATTTCAGCTGCAAGATTCCTGACTGTAGCGAGATGGCCCACATCGAAGGATCGTGCCACTCTATTTTTGTCTTGGTGCATCTTTGCCTGGACAAGGAACTTATCAATGGCATCCTCAGCTCTATGTACCGTTCTTTGAATCTTCTCCTCCAGCAGTTTCCACTGACTGCCCTCACTTTGGTATTTTGCAGCATCGTCTAGGAAGGATTTTAGGCGTTGGACTTCTTCCAGCAGATTTTCCAACTCTCCCTTTGCACCTGCAATCAGTTTCACATTTTCACTTAATAGCTGCAACAGGTTCTCTACTAGAAAATTCACTACTGCATCTGCCATCTGTCTTTCTTTGGTAAACAAGAACGTAAATAGAGAGGGTAGTTTTTTCCAGCTTGTAGCGATGAGATTTTCACTTCATCGCAGCTGTATATAAAGAATGTTGCATATTTTAAGCTGACTCTTATTCTGAATTATTTAATCAGTCTTCCTATATTCTTTTTTTTATTTTATTTTTATTTTTATTATTTTGGGTGCACCAACCAACAATGTAACAACTCTAATGACAGTTGGTATCCCATAAAAATATTTGCAAGTGGATACCATAATTAGTCTTAGGGCTATGGCTTTTCGATGTTAAGATACTAGTTTTCTTGGCACTTACAATATTTCCTCTAGGCTAATAATGATGGCAAATTCAATCAAAATATGCTTGACCCGCTAAATCCATCTATAATCAATCCGTAATCAACCCGTTCACTTAAAATACCTATATGGATTAATGTGAATCAACCCGTATTCATGAACCCAAATATTGACTGTTGACAGCGGGTCAAAAAGATGGAAAATCTTAAAATGCTTTATGTACAGCAGCCTAAGCTTTACGCTGTTGTAACTACCTCAAAGCGTTCATGATCAATAAACAAAAAGCACAACATGAGGGCATCATACTCCTTTTGCTTATTTTGGATAGCAATTTTTCTGTTAGCTTTTTGCTAAAAACAAATACATTCGTCTTTTAAAATAAAATAGAACTCTTAAATGATCTCAAAATCAATTAAAATGTTCTCGCAAAACAAACCAAATAAATAAAAACCTCGGGTTCAAGCCCTTGAAAATATAATTATATTTGTTAGTAGGGTTTTGCCTTCAAAAAAGTGGGACTTTCGTAGAATACGTCTTGCATTAGTCGGGCCCAATAACGGTTCCTAGACACCAAGTAGAAAACAAATACTTCACAAATCCAAGAAGTATACTTGGACTGATGCATGCACAGATATAACTATATTGATTTTGCTATCGAATTTTATCGTCTTGTTCTGTGCTTCATATTTTCAAAATCATATTATTTCATGTGGCTAAAATAAATAAATTAAATTTAAGAAGAAAGTTAAAATGAGGTATAAGAAAATAGTAAATAAATAAATCCAAATGTCTCCATTTAACGTGCAAATTAACGCAACTGTGAAACCGGTATGTTTGTTGAATTAGAGACTCATTTACGGCCGCACGTAAAACCATGGTTTGATTTTTTTTTCCTTTGATTTTTATGTACTTTTAAAATGCAAAATAAATTGCATCCTATAACCTATTGTACCTGTTATAAAAGTATTAAATATTTATTTTATTTTCAATTTGCAGTTTTCCAAGTTCATTGTCTATGTATTTTTTTATATGTAAAATACATTGAAAACAAATGAGATACGAGGCGCAGATCTTGGGTTAATGTGATTTGATATATATGATATTCTGTTGATTTGGTGATGATTTGATTTGGGCGATTTTCGGTTTGCAACTAACTGTGGCTGACGAAATATTAGCCAGAATTTTCACCGGGTGTCTTTTTTAAAGACCTCATGTTTAACTTATATTCCCGTCTAAACAATTTGTGCAAAAGTAACATTGTCCCTGCACCCCCGCCAGAAATTATTCTTGTTTTTCTCCTACTTCTTCTTCTCGTTCTTCCTCCTACTTCTCCATCTTCTTCTTGTCCTTTTCCATCTTTTTCCTTACAATAAATTATGAGTACGCAACTAAATTTGGAAAAGAACAAGATATATGCTGTACAAAATTGAAGACCTATTGCTTTATTTGTGGTTGGGAGTGGGTAAAATTCCACTGCGTTAAATTGTCTATCCCTAATAATTTGGATTGGATTGAAGAACTTCATTGTTGAATTTTTATTGAGCTTGAAAAAACTTTGATAGGATATATGCATTCTTGTTATGTTTTGATGATCTAACAAACTTAATGATAAGAACCAGATAAGGAACCTAATACATGTCCTCAAGTACGTGAGAATAACAAGTCTCAAGTTGGGGACGTGAATCAACTCTTAAGAGTCAAAAAAACAACAAGGGGAACATATGGACACCAGTTCCCTTGATGACCGTACCAGTCAACCTCCCAACCGCTGTAAAGTTGCTGCCTGCACACGCAACAGTGCAAAACAGTGCAGCAGTCAACTTCATTGGTAATGCCCTTGTACCAAACATGCTTGCATTATTCAAGTGATGTCACCTATGTAATATTAACATTAAACAAAAGGCAAAAATCACTTGAACATTTGAAGAATCTATCCAGCATTCTCTCAAGTCTGTGCATCAATCCAGCAAGTGATTCTCAAGGGCATCAAGAACAAAAAATAACATAACAAAGGACCAGTTTTCTGTATTGAGTTATCACATGTCCTTAGTGGTGTTTCACCTTTGTTAAAGTACTTTACTTGTGATTCGTACTTAGCTTAGTTAGATGCATTGGATAGGAAACTTTTGTAAACTCATAAACCTTGTGTTTGTGTCTTGGCTAGAGTTAGTCGAGTTGTAAGCTTTGTAATAGAGTTATTACAAAGGGGCTTGCAATAGAGTTGTTACAAGTTAGTGAGGAATTAAGAGGTTAATTACTAGGTTACAATAGGTTGTAATATGAAGTTTGCTCAGTAGTGAAGTTGAAATCCTACAAGGGGAGGTCGTGGTTTTTAATCCAGTGAGCTGAGAGTTTTTCACATAAAATTCCATTGTATCATTCACTTACTGCAGTGTGCGTGCGTTTCAGTGGAAACTAATAGAGAACCTGGTTCTCTATATAGTTTGGTGGACCCTTAGTTCCTTAAATTGGTATCAGAGCAGGTTCTTTCTATCAAGCTAACACCTAGAAAGGATCCTCATGGCTGCTCTACCAAACTTTGAAGAAGGTCAATCTACCTACAGACCACCAAGATTCAACGGCCAATACTATGGATGGTTGAAGACAAGGATGCATGATTTTATCATGGCTGAAGATTTAGAGCTTTGGGATATTATCTGTGATGGAACCTTCGTCCCTATGAAGACCAATGGTGACCCAGCAAATAACAGTTCCCAAAATAAGAAAGGAATTCAATGATGCTGATCGCAAGGTCATAGAGAAGAACTTTCAAGCAAAAACAATTCTCGTCTGTGGTATTGGACCAGACGAATACAACATGATTTCAGCATGTCAATCTGCTATGGATATCTGGAAAACTCTCCAAACAGTTCATGAAGAGACAAATCAAGTTAAGCAGTCGGAGATTGATATGCTAACCACAGAGTATGAGCTCTTCAGGATGAAGGATGATGAGTCCATTTAGTACATGCACACTCGCTCCACCTCTATTATCAATGAGCTCCATTCTATGGGAGAAATCATTCCAAGGAACAAACTTGTCAGGAAAATACTTAGCGTATTACCCAGTTCCTGGTAAAGCAAAGTAAATGCTATCACGGAGGTAAAGCATCTACAAAAGCTGACCATTGATGAACTCATTGGGAATCTGAAAACTTATGAAATGAGGAAAAAAAAGGACAATGAGATAAGAGAGCCCAAAAGGGAGAAGAACCTTGTCCTCAAAATAGACAATAATGAATCAAGTGGTAAGGATGCTGATATGGCCGACTTGACAAAGAGGTTTCAGAAAATGGTTCGCAGAAATGGAGGTACTCCAAAATGGGGCAGCTCCAGCAAGCAAAGAGGCTATGACCTATGTCATAAGTGTGGGAAGTCAGGACATTTCATCAAAGATTGACCTCTCCTCAAGCAATATCAATACAAACACAACACAGACAAAGCAGCTAAGAGGAACCAGGTTCCTGACAAATGGTTCAAAAGAAAAGATGATCCTGATAATGTTGTGAAACAAGCTCTCGCTGCATGGGGAGACTCTTCCAACGAATCTGGAGAAGATGATGAAAAAGGCGATAGCTCCATGATGTCAGTAAAAAGTGAAGCAACTAAATACAACTCTATCTTTGCCCTGATGGCACAATCTGACGATGATGAAGATGAGGTAAACTTTCTAGATATTAAAAAAAAACGGAAGTCTTACTCTCCTAAAAAACTTATGTCTTTGGAAAATGTTTTAATTGATGCTTATCACAGTCTTATAAATGATTAAAATACATTAACTTTGGAACTAGGAGAAGTAGAACATGAGAGAGATGATCTAGTAGTTTGTGTGGTCGATTTAAAAGAAACCATTGAGAGTTTGAAAAAAGAAAAAAATGCCGTAACTAAAATAATTGCAAACATATAACATGAGAGAGATGATCTAGTAGTTTGTGTGGTCGATTTAAAAGAAACCATTGAGAGTTTGAAAAAAGAAAAAAATGCCGTAACTAAAATAATTGCAAACATATAACATGAGAGAGATGACCTAATGGTTGTTGTGGTTGATTTAAAAGAGACCATTGAGTGTCTTAAAGAAGAGAATAAAGCCTTAACTGAAAAGGTAGCTAACATAGAGCATGGGAGAGATGACCAATTAGTGGTAGTTGTGGACCTAAAGGAAACAATTAATGAACAAAAAGGAGAAGGTGGTCATGAGATTACTCGAAAGGGAAATAACGTTGCAAGTGAGAAATATCTTAGGATTGAAGATGAGTAAAAATCAGTATAATCCAGTTAGTGTGCCAAACTAGAGAAAAACAAGCAACTTCAGGAAGATCTAGGAAGAGTTAAAAGTGATCTAGAAAAATCACTCAAGTGGACCTGGTCCTCTGATGCTATCATTGCCATGTATAAGAACAATGGGGGAAACAAGCAAGGAATAGGGTTCTAAAGGGAAAAGACTCCATACAACCCTCATAGCAAGTACATTACTGTACCTGATAACTAGCTTTGCACTCACTGTGGTAACACTGGGCACTTTAAGGAAACCTGTAAGGCCAGATTTCAGTCTCAACAGAAAAATAAATTTTTTGCTAAAAAAGTAACTACTGCTAAAGAACCTGGTCCCTCATATAAAAAACATGTGATGCCTGCTTGGACCAGAAGAGTCCGGATACATCCCTTTCCTCATTATAAGGGACCCAAACTTGTTTGGGTTCCTAAGTCTAACCCTTGATTTTCTTGTGCAGGGAGCAGTGAAAGGGAGCAACCAACAATGATACATGGATAGTGGCTGCTCGAA